GCTATTAGGTTGGAGGCCATCGCTATTAGGTTGGAGGCCATCGCTATGAGGTTGGAGGCCATCGCTATGAGGTTGGAGGCCATCCATATTAGTTTGGAGGCCATCAATAGTACGAGTAGGTTGGAGGCAGCTATTAGGTTGGAGGCCATCGATAGTAGGTTGGAGGCCATCGATATTAGGTTGGAGGTCATCGCTCTTAGACCTTTAAACCTATTGCTTCTTTTTCTGAAGTACCGAGCTTGGACTGCGATTTTGTATCTGCGCTCAGTGCGAGGAGCGGAATTCATCGAAGCAGCGGGCAGTTTCCGTCACCTGTCTTCGGTGATTTTGGCATGGATCTATATTATATATGTAATATGTTCATAATATGTTCCTTTTCGACAGAATTAACATCCTGACCAGAAGAGAGGAAAAGAGCTAACAACCCAACCGTCGGCCCTAATTAAAGGGGCCCCTACCTTCTTCTTTCCAAATGCACTTTGGTTCTTCCTGAGCTTAGTCTGGTCACAATATCATCCATATAGCAAACGCTTAACTCCATTGCCGTTTCATCGACCAAACATACTGCACTGACCTCGTCCGGCTGGGATTGTAAGTCCTCACAAAGGTACGATTGCGGACCTTCAACTTCCTTTCAGTCTCAGAATTGGTTTATATAAGTGTCAATTCAGGAAATGAAAACCATTGGTTTCCTTTAGATTTCCCTTAGCAAATTCCATTGATTCAGGAGAGCTTCTAGTTCCTAAAGCCTTTGCTCCAACAGCTTGACCTTGCCGCGGGCTGAAAACGCCAAGCGGAGATGATTTTGGTGTTTCGCATATTGAGACGCGAGACCACTCAAACCACAACAATTTGGCATTCTATTTTTGACCGAGGCCCGGCCTCCCTTAATTAAGTAGGCGCCTACTTAATGAAGTAAGGAGGCAAGCTCTTGGGTAGGACGCAGGATAGCGCTCGCACTGTTCATTCGGTTCCTAGATCTTTCGGCTGATTTGGACTTCCCATTCGTGACTTTCGCGCAGTGAAGTCCTGGCTTTGCTTCAGCAAAAACTCTTCCAAACTGGATAGCGTGGCCTGAGATGAATGGATTCGATGCAACGAAGAGTCCCTGAAACCGTTGGAGGAATTGGGTTCCAAACCTTTGGCTCCTGTGTGACAGTGACTGAAAGAACCCGGACGAGCAAGCAAATTGTGCAGCGAGCTGGATCAACTGCGCAAAACTCCTATCCAAACGACTCACTACTGAACCACTGAATGTGTTGTGAACATCAGTAAATCATGAGGGTGATCGTACAGGCTCCAATCACAACATGTTCATAAGATTTCATAAGCCGCTACTTCTGGAAATCCATGATAGCCCGCATCAAAACTTCAAAGCCCACCATTGTCACAACCCCAAACACCCATCCCTGGCCTGTAGCCCTTCAGCTTCTGCAATCCTTGGAGACCAAGCCGATGATTCCAATGATGTCGGTTTCAGCAAATCAGCTAATTGGAGCTTCCATGACTTGGTCGTTTTCTCCATTTGCTTGAAGAAGCCAAGGGTCGTGTCAATTGTTGCCGACATCTCTTGCAAAGACTTCAGCATTGCAGAAAGGCTCTGCTCAGACTCCTGCTGCAAACACATACAGCGCGCGGCATGCGCTGGGTGGTGGACATTTCCGAATCCTACACTGTCCCTGAGGTCGCATATGTTTACAACTCTTCAACTTGGCAAGGGGCCGTCATGGCACACACCTCGAACACACACACACACACCCATGCACACACACACACACCCGCGCGCGCGCGCTCATATGTATGAGCCATCATTTCGGTAAACCCCTGTTGTGGAACATATCTCAAAATCTTAGCAGCATTCAAAATGTCATGAAGCACCAACATGCAATGAAAACTGCAGCATGGCTCCACTGGACAATAAGTGATGCTCATCTCATGATCTCATTGTCAATTCCTGCATGACGCATACATGTGTTTCAGTGATTTTCGTCCGACCGGCATATCTCGGATCAATACAGGGCCCTTGACGCCACCCCGTGCTACGACATATGGAAAACAGGTGATTCGATTTCGTGTGAACTTGGCCGAGACTTCGTGGGCTTGTGGACAACCAAGTTGATATTGGTAGCGGAGCTGGCGACGCTCCTCCCAAAGTATTCGGACGGTGATCTTTGTGTTTGAAGAGTTCCTGAAGATCTTGTGAAAGGGTTTTGAGGTGCTCATCTCACTGTTCGTGTTCGGCGAGGCAATACTATGTCTCAAGCTTTCGGAGGGGCCGAGCGCAGTTCGCCTAGGAGATACGCAGGGACCAGACGCGCCAGAACACCTCGTGATCAAGATTTCCCAGAAGAACCACGAGAACGAGCGAATGGTGGAAGACCCGACACTGGTGGAGGCTTCAGAGGACTGGACTCAGGACTGTCTAAAGCTTGCCCTTCGACAGATGGTTTGAACCAGAAGAACTACAGAAGTTTTCGACGACGTGTTGAGTTGTTCGAAAGACAGTGCCATCGTCGCAGTGTTGATACGGCAGTTGAGGGTGCATTGTTACTCATTTCAAGGTTGCAAGATTTGGCTTGAGATTCAACAGAACAGATTTCTTTCGAAGCATTGGAACGCAGTCCAACGCCATTTACATTCGTGTATGAGATTTTGGACAATTTGTATCAGTACGAACAACAAGTTGAAGTACCATCCCGTTGTGAAGAGTTCTTTGCAGAGTTCCAAAGGATGAAGAACGAAGACATGACTTCATACCTGGTCAGGCATCGAACATTGGTGAAGCGCATGAGGGATGTTGGTGTTGAAGTACCAGCCCTTCTCAGCGGCTGGCATTTGTTGACACGTGCTGGAGTTCCAAAGTGGACACACGTTCAAGTCAAAGCATTGTGTGGTGGTGACTTGGACTATGAGAAGGTTCACAAAGCTTTGATGAAGATGTTTGGCGGTGACCACAAGCCGAATCCGAAGGACCTTCAGAGGACAACAACGACAACAGAGGTATACTTTAAAGATGATTATGAAGTTGTCGATGACGAAGGTTACTATGGTGAAGAAGACACAGGCGACTGGTGGGAAGAAGAAGTGAATTATGAAGAGTGGCATGACGAAGAAGAATGGACAGAAGATCTTGAAGAAGCAGCGGATGCCACAGAAGAAGCTTACATTTCCTACCTGGACAGTCGTCGAAGGATGAGAGAATTAGCTCTTTCCCGATGATTTTACCCAGTTGTGGCCATTGGTCCTGAAGCAGATGGTCGCAGTCAAAGCAAAGGAAAAGGAAATGGAAAAGGAAGCTCAAAAGGAAAAGGAAAGGGCAAAAGCTCCAAGGGAAAAGGAAAAAGTAAAGGAGGTGGTTTTCGACGCACCTTCGACAACAGACGACCCATGTCAGGTTTGAGGAGACCTACATCAAGCACAAGTGCAAACAGCAGTGACGTGAAGTCAACCCTGACAGGTTCAACCAGCAGTCATGGCCCCAGATTCAAAAGGTTTCGTGTGCAGTCAAGTGGTGTGAAGGAGGTTCCAGAAGAACAAGTTTCGATGGTGGAGGAGACAGCCACCGTTGATGAGTGCTACTTTTCCTCCTTGTTGCCTGGTAGAGCGATTGTTGATTCAGGTGCAACCAGGACAATTGTTGGAGAAAAGGTTTGGCAAGGATGGTTGGAACATGCACAAGATTTGCCAGTACAGGTCACGCAGGTTTCAAGAGATTTCAAGTTCGGAGGAGGTGAAACGCTTCGTTCAAGCTACGACATCACCTTCCCGGTACAGGTACGTGGACAAGACCTGAGCGTGACTGCATCGGTGGTTCCAGGAAAGACTCCTTTCCTTCTGGCAAGACCTACGCTGGAAGAGTGGAAGGTGCAACAGGACTATGCAAAAGGCAGTCTGAAGATCAAAGATTCAGATTGGTTCCAACCGGGAAGAGGTCAAAAGGGACACTACATCGTGAACCTCCTGCAGCTTTCCGCAGAAGCATTGGGAGTTGAAGAAGTGCTGGCCATTCCAGAAGATGTTGTCGTGCAGTGGCCCGTACAAGATGATACATGGTACATTGAACCGTCCACAGAAGCGGAAGCAACCGGAGAGTTGCCCCTCGTGGAGTTCGAGATTGAGGATGACACCATGATCGAAGAAGCCATGAAAGCAGTGGAGACCGACAGGTGCATGACTTTCTTTGAAGTCTACGTGGATGAAGGCCAGTTGTCGCAGAAGCTTCTGAACAAGTATGCAGATGTGAGTGTGGCCAATTTTTCTTTGCCAGAATGGGACTTCAAGAAGAGTCATGTGAGAAAGGAGTTTTTGAAGTTGATGAGAAAAGAACGGCCTTTGCATGTGTGGTTAGCTCCACCTTGCACCAAGTGGTCCGTCATGCAGAACCTGAATGCATTGACGGAAAAAGGAAAAGAGAAGCTGATGAAAGATAGAAGTGAAGAGGAAGAGTCTCATCTCATCTTCGTGGCTCAGGTCTTTGAGGTCGGAGAAGAAATTGATGCTGGAGTCAGCTGTGAACATCCTCGTGGAGCCAAGTCTTGGGAGACCGAGACCATGCAGAAGCTGAAGGAAAGATCGGTGATGGATGCCGAGTGTGATCGATGTCGAACAGGTCTAGTCTGCCGAGACAGTGGAGGAAATGTGTTGGGAAAAGTGAAAAAGCCAACACGCATCAGAACAAGCAGTCCCTTCGTGTATGAAGCTCTTCATTTGCAATGCCAATGTCACAATGGTGAGCATGTGAGAATGGAGGGGCGATCCACGGCTTTGAGGAGAATGCAAAACTACGAAAGTGGCTTCACAGAAAGGGCAGCAGACGCCATTCATCAAGACATGTTGAAGAGATGGCAGGCTCAAGAGACCTTGAAGATCTTCATGGCCGACGAGCTCGATGAGATGGAGATTGAAGAAGAGCAGAAGAAAGAAAGGAAAGGCAACGAAGAAGACAAGGAGATGATGAAAACGCATGGGAAAAAGGCACTCCAGATCGTGAACAAATTGCACAAGCAGTTGGGTCATCCCGGAAATGACAAATTGGTGAAAGCATTGCAGGATGCCAAATTCCCAGAAGAAGTTGTGGGATGTGCTAGAAAGTACAAGTGTGACATCTGTCAAGGAGAAGCATTGAAGAAAAGCGCTAATCCAGGCACTTTGACAGAAGCCACCTACTTCAATGAGATCATCGAGATGGACACTTTCCACATGAAGTGGAATGATGAAAAAGTTCGCATCCTGGCAGTCATTGATTTGTTCACGAAGTATGAGGTGAACGCATTGTTGCCAAGAGAAACAGAAGAAGCAGAACTGCAAGTGCTGGAGGAGTTATGGTTCCATCCTTTCGGCTTTCCAAGTCGATTGAAGACAGATGCTTCGGGAGCACACATGAGCCAGAAGTTTCTGGACGTCATGGACCAATACAAGATCAAGCTGGTGCTGATTCCAAAGGAGGCTCATTTCAAAATGGGTACTGTGGAAAGATTGCATGCAGTGAGGCGTCTACAGTTGCTGAAGATGAAGAAAGAGATGCCCAATGTCGATCTGCAGCAAGCAATTCGGACAGCATGCACACAGCGCAATCGGCTACGCAACATTCATGGCTCATCACCAGCTGACTTGGTCTTTGGCAGAGCTCCCAATGCATTGGCAGGTCTCATTGATGAACCTCAAGATCTACGACCAGATTTGCCGGCAGCAGCTCAAGATTTGGTAGTTCTCCGGACTCTTGCAGCCAAGACATTTCATGAAGCCAACAATGATGCCCTTCTTAGACGTTCTCTTTTGGCAAGACCAAGGTCCGACCATGAACCTTTGCCACTTGGTTCTTGGGCCTATTACTGGCGGCAGGGAGATTCCAAGCTCGAAAGCTCTCGATGGCGGGGACCTTCTTTGGTTTGCATGGTTGAGCCAAAACCCATGAGCAATTCCGAGAAGTTTCGACCTCATGTTTACTGGTTAGCTCATGGTGCCTCTCTCGTTCGTGTCGCTCCTGAACACATTCGTCCAGAGTTGCCACGAGAACGGTTGGCACGGTTAGAGAACATGCCAGATACAGCTCAATCCACACCGGTTCAAACCCAAATCCTTGACACCTTACGTCCTGTTCGCGGTCCCGTTCGGTTTTTGGATTTGTCTTCTCAGCAATCTCCTTCCCTTGGGGGGTACCTCTTTTGCGAATGCAGCGAGTCAGGGTGCATCCGTCGTTTCGGCCTCGGATAACACTGCAACCGATGCCCCGGCATCGGAGAACACTGCAACCGATGCCGGACAAGATGCACCAGCTACATTGGCAAGTGTTGCTGAGAAGAGTACAGGTGACACCGGAGTTGATGCAGAGATGCAAGAGCCAGAAATTCCAAAAGAAGAAGATGCCAGAACACAGAGAGAAAGATCGAGAAGTCCACCCGCCAGAGATGAGAAAGCCAAAGCCTTTCAGTCCTACAATTTGTCCCGACAGTTGGATGGAATGCCTCGAGTTGAACCCGGTGATGCAGCCTTCGAGAAACACTGGGAACAGATGGTTCAGCCCATGGAGGAGGACGAAGATTTGATGGCTGAGTCATTCCATGAATCCAAGCTCACGGACAAAGAGCGACATGAGTTCAGCGAGGCGAAGGACAAGGCACTACGTGTTTGGCTGGATAACAAGGCTTGGAAGGCTGTTCCTGAGACGGAGGCCAAGGACGGCGAGGTCATTCCAGCAAGATTTCTGCAGAGATGGAAACCGACGAAAGAAGGAAAAGTGGCGAATGCCAGAGTCATAATCCAAGGATTCCGTCATAAAGATGTTCTCAATGAAGAGCTGGATCGTGAGTCGCCGACTTTGAGCAGAACAGGTCGCATGTTGATCCTGCAGTGGGCTTGTCAGTTGGGATGGAAAGTCTTTGCAGCGGATGTGAAAAGTGCTTTCATGCAGTCCAAGTCCATCGATGAGGAAACCCGCATCTATATCCGACCCACTGCTGAGATGAGGAGACGATTGGAGAGACTCATGGATCTCAAACCATGGGAGCTTCTCAAAGCCACCAAACCGGCCTTCGGTGACGTGAGAGCACCAAGGCAGTGGTATGAGTCAGCAAAAGATTTTCTGATCAATGAGGCCCAATTCCTTCAGCATCCATTGGACAACTGTGTTTTCCTGAGCGTGAGGTTTGCATACAGAGGAGATCATGATTTCCAAGTGTTTGAACACCAAGGCAAGCAATACATTGTCGATGGGATTCTTGGTTTGCATGTTGATGATTTCCTTGGTTGTGGCGAAGGAGTGCATGCAGTGGAGGATGTAACCGGAATCCGTGAGGAGACAGAAGCGCAGAGGACAACACATTGTTTCAAAAGCAGGTTGCAGAGTTTGGCACAAAAGTTCAGGTTCGGCAGTTGGGACTTTGGTCGCAAATCCAAGATCCTGTTTTGTGGAACATCATTGGAGCAAAGCATTGGGTATGACAGCTTGACATTAAGCCTGAAAGAATATGTGCAGAAGATCAAGCCGATTACCTTGGACAAGCAGAGGAAGACCATGAGCGACGCACCATTGGAACCCAAAGAAACGAAGATGCTGAGAGCACTCATTGGCGCGTTGGCTTGGCCGGCAGGACAATGCCTGCCTCAGTTGTCCGCTTCAATCTCATTGTTGCAAGCATCGTCGAGCAATCCAACAGTTGGTGACATTGTGCAAGCAAACAAGTTGTTGAGATTTGCAAAAGACGTTGTTCAAGGCTACAACATGACCTTGAGGCGACATGGACAAAGCTTGTCGGAGATGCGCTTTGGTGTGTACATGGACGCATCATGGGGAATCAGGCCTGACGGCTCTTCCCAAGGTGGGCACACCATCTTCATCGGCACAGAGGATGAGATGAATGCAGGGAAGCCTTTTCCTTTGACCATCATCAGCTGGCATTCTCGAAAGTTGAACCGCATGTGCAGGTCTTCATTGTCGGCAGAAGCACAGTCAGCAGCGAGCGCAATTGATGAAGTTGAATGGACCAAGATTTTCGCTGCTGGAATGGTCAGTCCCTACATCTCCATTGCTGATGAGGGCGTGCTCCAGATGTTCGGCCCGACTCCTGCGTTGACAGATGCAAAGTCTCTTTTCGATTCTGCAAGGTCAGTGTCTGCAGGTCTGAGGCTTACAGAGAAGAGAACAGCAATAGAAGTCGCAATTGTGAAGGAAAGGTTAGCTGCGATGCTTGGAGAAATGAAGTGGGTGAACTCGGCACAGCAAGTTGCAGATGGGCTCACGAAACCAGGAGCCAAAGATAGTTTCTCGCATGTTCTCAGGCGAGGAGTTCACTCCTTGAGGTTTGATCCAAACTTCACGGCGGCCAAGAAGGTAACGAGAGAAGAGAAAGAAGGTGAAGAGAAAGAACACGATGAAGCCGCCAAGATGCTTTTCCACGGTGAACTGTTGATGACCGAGGAGATTGCAGCTGGAGTATGCCAGAAGCCCGGTTGTGGGAAGTCGCTTGATGCTTCACAGCAGCACCACAGGTATTGCAGTCGAAGACATTTTTACAAGCACTTCAACCAGCGCAAACTTGGTGAAGACATGTGGAAGAAAGCAGCACAGATGGCAATCCTTACGTTGGCAACACAAGGTGCAGAGGAAGCAGGTGTTGAAGCAGCTGATACAAATCAGGCAGCATCGGGAAACACTGCAACCGATGACTTCCGAGTTGTGTTGACATTGTTAGTGATTTTCCTGTTTTCATTCCTTAGCATGCAGAACGTTGCCTTCAAAGCATACAGGTGGTTTTTGAGCATTGTGCAAGTTCTTTTTCCCCAGCCAGTGATGGTGAATGAGAACGCGATTGAAGAAAATGAGGTGAATGACGACGATGAAGTTCCAGAGATTGACTCAGATCCTAGCCATGGCACCATTGCAGAGATGGAAGTCGCACAGAATAACCAGGTGAATGATGATGATGCCGGAAGCTCTTCCGTGAACGATGATCCAGAAGTGTCACCAGAAGAGTGGGATCGCTGGTACCAAATCAAAGAAAGTGTTGAGAATGAAAGAGGACAAAGGAAGTGGAAGAAAATTCTGAATGAAGTGGTCCTCAACTACCAGCACCCCATGATCGACAGCGCGTTGAGAGGAGTAATGATTGAAGAGAACTGGACAGACAACCGCTGCAAGTCTTACAAGAAATTGTTGGACATTGAGGACACCTCCGGTTGCACTTCGGACCAGATTCGCCTCTGGAATCGTCATTGCAATGAAAGGATGCTCTTCATGATTGAGGTGAGTGCAAAGGTGAAGAAACAGAAAGAACAGATTGAGTTGTTGGAACGCACCCTGGCCAGGAAAGAAAGGCTTGAGCAGTTGGAAGGCATGGAGCGCTTTCGACAAAGAGTGAGTGATTGGGAAGTCAAAGACAAGGTGTGCCAGACACCGTTCACTTTCAGTTCGGCGCGCAATAGGTTGGTTGCTCTCCCTGACCATGCTCACGGCTCATACGAGTTTCAGAGCGATTTTTACAACAGGTGAAAAGAGCAATGGCGTCAAGGCCAAAAATTTTGTATTTTCTCCAAAAGGAATTTTACATGGTCGAGATGGGCTCGAACGAAAGAGCTTTCCTCCTGTGTCAATTCCTGCATGACGCATACATGTGTTTCAGTAATTTTCGTCCGACCGACATATCTCGGATCAATACAGGGCCCTTGACGCCACCCCGTGCTACGACATATGGAAAACAGGTGATTCGATTTCGTGTGAACTTGGCCGAGACTTCGTGGGCTTGTGGACAACCAAGTTGATACTCATGTTATATGTTCCACGAGACTAACAGAGTGGCTTCGGAGTGATGCAGGTAATTTCAGTTGCATGCGACCACTCTGACATGAATGACCCGACCGCAACTTCTGCATGTCTTGACAATGGTGCAACAAACAACTCTTGCTCAAAAACCACGCGTGTCAATCCCAAGTCTCAAACAAATCCATTTGATGCCACCAGCCCAATGGCATGCAGTTCACCCTGTGTTGTGCCTCAAGATGATTGACATTTAACGCCAAAGATTTACTTACTGTAGAACCCTGTGTACGTATCCTCGAGAAAATGGACAACAATAACACTCAAGGTGGTAAGGAATTCCTTATACAAACTGCGTTGTTTCCATATGCTTCGCTTCCACGCCAAATCTCCCTCGTTTCGTGACCTTTTGAACGCCGGCGAAGCCGCATCCTTCGCCAGCTCCGCTTCAAGGCCCTTCAGCGGCCCCAGGGCCTTGGCTGCTGCCCGCCGCGCCGCCAGCGGCTCACCGGGCACGCTCAAGGTGCTCCGAAGTTCCTCGAGGCGAACTTACTAATAGCTTCTTGTTACTACTAGTAAGGCACCTGTTACTACTAGCGTAGCACTTGTTACTATTGAACTGTGCTTTTTGCGTTATGGTATGATTATGTCCAATGTATGTACAGTCTATATTTAGCCCGGGGGGATAGGTCGCAGCGTGGGGGAGCTTCCTTGATGAAGCGCTCGCACTAATGATTTGCTAGACTTTTAGGGAAACTGAACTGTTTTAAAATGTTTTAGAGGCCTTTTTTGGAGGACGTTGGTCAGCTACAAGCCATACTTTTATCATATTATACATACCACCTGCTTCGGACCTCTGAAGGAGTTTCATCAAATGTGCAGGATTCAATTCCAGATTCCTCATCTTGCTGTGCTGATCATGTGGAATGCCCCCTTTTTTCTCCTCAATCTTAGTTTTTTGCAGCATATGAAGCACAAATTTTCTTTCTAAATCAAAGAATAAACGCAGCGAGCAGGCCATCGGCTTGTAGATATCTGCCGCTCACTTGCCTGATCTCTCATCCTCCAGCCAGACCAACTGTGGGAGGGTTGGCAAAACCCCAACTCCCTGAGTTCCTCACTTCTCTTCGTTGCGATTGTCTACTGTGCAGGCTTCCAAGCCGAATGGAAGCGAACACTTGGCAAAGGGATGGCAACGGCCCGCCTACTTGCACTTCCTACAGCCAATGAACTGTGTAAATGAGGAGAGTTAGAAGGACCGATGAACCCACAAGTCTGATTAATGAGACCTGATCTGACACACCAGCTTGACGCCCAATCCGAGACCTTATTTGTGCACATCAGCAGACTCGGTGGTCTCTGCTAGTGAGTGCCAGATCCCTTGTTGGAAGAAAACACCTGGGCAAATTGTTTGGGTTATTCCTTTCATTCCCCCTGACGGGTCGTTGATAGACCCGACTGTTGGAACCTATAAAATTCTGTCCAAGGTGCATCCAACGATGTCACAAAGTCGGAGATGTCACCCTCGGCCGCCAGTGCTCTCTCGTCTGCCAGGGCGAAGACTTTCGCCAAGCTCTCCTGGATCGGGTGACCCAGGGCGATGACGGCAGGTGCTGTTTATTCACGAGATCCAGACAAAGGGGTCTCATAAAGATCAGTTCGAAGACATGATTAAATTAACATATATTAAAACGTATTAAAACTATGCCCCACAGCCGGTGTTGAATCATCCAACAGGATTAACAGTCCAAGCTGTAGGTAAGATGTTAGGATTAGGAGAAATAACATGATTTTGCACAACAACAGGACATCTGGAGTCTGCAAAATGGATCGTCAAACTGTCCAAACCATACTCATCCAGCCGGGTCACTTCCAAAGCGGCATGGTCGTCGCTTCCTTGGGAATGTGGCCACCTGACAAAACAGTTATGATGCTTGTTCCAAGCAACCAAACCAGTCGCGCAAAAGCTTTCGCCGTCCTTTGCCCAACACAACCAACTGAGACCTAATTACACTCCCTGATTCCACTTCCATGATTATTTCACGGAGTGTGCTGCCTCTTATTCAAAGTATATTCAAGTTCAAGACCTTAACCCCAAACACCTAGCAATGAACTTTAGACTCTAGACTTCGTCAGCCAAGAGCACCATCGTTGCATCTGAGCCAGTGGGGCTTGGGACTCAGCAAAGTGGTCTTGTGCTAGCTCGACTGCAGCTTGCCTTAGGTTGCACTGGGTAGTCGATATATAAACCGATCATCAAATATGATTTACCATGATTGACCTCTTCAACACGCTGTGCTCCACTCCGACGAATCGACTCCACGGCAGCAACACATACGAGGACAGAAAGAGCACCGCTGAGGTGACGCTTCAAACGGGTTGCTGTAGGTGAAGCTTCACCATGTGAGAGCTGACCTGCACTGCCAAGTGGGTCCGCTTCCAATCAAGTTTTTAGCTCTAAGCTGAGCCAATGCACCCTTGTCACTATTTCCTTTTTGTATAATCCCCTGAATCATGACTGGCATGCAGCGTTGAGGCAAAAGACAAAGCATGGCTAATCCTTCGGGTGAGGGGCATGCCGCATATGTGAAATGTGACTATTGGAGGAGATTCTGTCTCAAATCAAAACTAAGATCTCTGGCGGACTCAGCCAATGAAGTCCATGAACCAGTCCCAATAAAAGTGACACAGTTTTCTATCACAAAAATGCATCGACCACAACGAGTTGTACACAAATGCCGTCCTTTTTTTCATAAACCTTGTAGCATGTGACCTGCGCAGTCAGCTTCTCCACAGTGGGCGCCAAATCCTCCCAGCTACCTCAGCTGCGGGGGTGAAGCTGCTGGGAAGTGAGCAGTTGGAGGCACTGCTCACATCTTGTCAGTATCCCCGCTGTTGATATTGATGTCCTGGGTTTTTGGGATCTCCTGATCTCTCCCGATCTCCAGGTGATGGGGAGGAAAAACATAGAAAATCCTTTGCAGCCCACGACATGGTATCAACATTGACCAAACTTGCCGCTGAATCGCTCATGGCGATTAGATAAGTTCTACATTGGCGGTAGATTTTTCCTTTCGGCACCTCTAGTGGGTGGTTTCTCGTGGGTGAGCTGTTCACCAGGCCACCCTCCGCCACGCTTGACAGTTGCTTCCCTGCGGTGTCAAATTGGGCAATCGGAGAGCGCCTCAGGAAAGTGTGGTTGGTCAAGGTGAAAGAATTGACGCCACTTGGACCTTGTTATCAATTCAGCCAGATTAACCACTTGACGTCGCTTGAAATCAACCAGATTAATCAAATCAAATCATCCCCTATGTCATGTCATCCACTGTGGCTTACCTTGACATCTCACAACAAAGTATCTCATACATTTTCAAAATACCTTTGTCAAGAATGTAAACCAAGAAGGATTCAAGGATCCTGGTATCCAGGGACCTGAGCCCTTCCTGAAAAATGATCTAAATGGTTGCGGCTTTATTCCGAAACAAAACGATGATTCGGAAACCAAGCGTGATTCGGAAACCAAGAAACCATGATTCGGAAACCAAAACGATTATTCGGAAACCAAACATTTTTCGGAAACCAAAAGAAGATTATTCGGAAACTGCCAGGAACGTTATTGCCCCAGCCCCATCCCACCACCCCACCCAACCTACTGTGATTCAGTACCCAGGTGCCATCTCCCACAAACGTTGTTAGCCCAGCCCCATCCCACCACCCCCCAACCTACTGTGATGCAGTACCCAGCTTGATTCAGTACCCAGGAACGTTATTAGCCGAGCCCCATCCCACACATCCCCACCCTAAGGGGGGGGACCTGTCTAAATGTAAGCTACATTTTTTGCAACTTTGGGCTTAAACAATGTAAGTTACATTTTCTTAGGGACACCTTAAAACATGTAAGTTACATTTTTTGAATACATGTAAGCTACATTTTTTGAGGTTCCGCTTTCTTGACGCCTTTCTGTGTTTACCTTTTTCCTCTAGACCTTCTTCCTTTTCTTCCTGCTATTTTTAAGACTTCCAAGCCAGTGACAGAAGCATGCATGTAAAGTATGTTTTTATGGTTTCGCTATTGTTTTGGTATGATTTGCTATTTTTTCTCAAGCCTTTGGGCAACTCCAGAGCTTGACCTTTTGGTAGCCTTTCCAAGCTTTGGGGAACCTGCCTCCATCCTTCGGAAAAGGGAACCCATACCAAAATCATATCAAAACTATATCAAAATCATAACAAAACCATAAGCGTTACACGTTTCTGATGGTTTAGGGTGGACGACAGTCGCACGACCCCCCCCAAAGCGTGTTTCAGACGTTTCCTGCAAAGGGTTCTCAAAACCAAGAAATGGGGAGGACCTGTCTAAATGTAAGCTACATTTTCTAGACCCCCCCCTCCCCCCCAAAAAAACATTGAAAAATGTAGACAGGTCCCCCCGGTTTTGTAGAGATAGGGGGTGGGGATTCCCACACCCCACCCAACCTACTGTGATGCAGTACCCAGCTGCCATCTCCCAGGAACGTTATTGCCCCAGCCCCATCCCACCACCCCACCCAACCTACTGTGATTCACCACCCCACCCAACCTACTGTGATTCAGTACAGCTGCCATCATGTTATTGCCCCAGCCCCATCCCACCACCCCACTCAGTACCCAGGTGCCATCTCCCAGGAACGTTATTGGCCCAGCCCCATCCCACCACCCCACCCAACCTACTGTGATTCAGTACCCAGGTGCCATCA